ATATATATATATTTTAACAAAACATAAAATATTTTTAAAACTGAAAAAAGCAATGATTATTAAAGCAGTTTATTAAAATAATTAAATTATATATTATGTATGACAAATTAAAATAAAAGAAATTTAATTATAAAATTTCTACTGTTTTATAAATATAGTAAGAACCCGCTTAACACTGGGGATACGTTTCTAGACAACAAAGCACTAAACAAAACAGCGTTAAATGAGGTCATTTTAACATAGAGTAAATAGGGAAAGAGGAACACACGACCTAAAAAACCAGATTTTACTTTAATTTTAAGTTATTTTTATATTAATTTGCATAATGATATATGTTAAATAACATATACACATATAAACACTGAAATGTAAAATTAATTTTGTGTGATGAAAGTCCTGACTTTTCTGAAATTCTTGTTTTTTGTGATAAAGTTATGTAGTTTCATTTCTCACTTTTTTTTTCTTTAAGCAAATGTCGGTAGTGGAAGATTGCATCCAAAACACCTCATCTTGCTTTTGTGCTCCTTCCAAAATCTGGATAATTTGCTACAATTTGATCAATAATTTTGTTTATTATTACCAAACTTTTACTAAGGAAATCTATAGAGAAATTCTTTGGGTTCTTCGTTTTCAGAATCACTATTTTCCAGTTCTACACGAATTCCTTATTCTGCCAGTTTTTGAAGGTCGTTGTTAGTAGGGTCTCACAAAAAACCTGCAGTAACTCCTCAATATCCTGCTCATCTACATCTCCTAGTTCTGCTGTATCGATTAGGTTGGCAATTTGGTCAAAATAACAATACAGTGATAGGCTCTTCTTGTTGAGAATTCTTGGATATCTTTAGTCATAACTTCTTCACATTCCATTCATGCATTTATCAGTTAATTCTTGACAAGCAAAGTCAATATTGTCTATAGTATTCATGACGTTAAATTTTTTCCAAAATTGAACCAAACTAACTTAGATTTAAGGAAAGTATAGTGCTATGACAAATTTCCACCTTTTGCTGATTGGTTCATATTTGGGAATAATCGTATTATATAGTAATCAATGAAATATTGCAATAATTTGAATCAACATAAATTTTGAGCTTTTTTAAGGCTTTGAATAGACTGCGTTATATCAAATCGGCATTAATCGAGGCGGGTGAGATGCAGAGTAGAGATTTCTTTCTGGTTCTACAGTGTTTCCAGTGCTGCCACATGAAGTGCACACAAAACACTGTAAACAGAAAACATGTCAAAAGACAAGTACAAAGAATGTAAGAATGTACAAAGAGAAGCCATACTGATACATGTCAGAATTGTAAATAAGAATGAAGTAAAGTTTCAGCATACAACACATGCAACAGAAAGTGCCTAACTCTGCAATGTACATGAAACTCATCTTAGGAATACTGATTATGGAACAGACCAATAAATGACAATGATTAAAAGAACTGAAGAACTGTCTGGCATTACTATTCATGTACTTGGANTTGGCTTATATATATATAATAAATTTAGATAAAAAAACTAAGCTAAAAATATGTTATGTTTCCATTATATAATTGCATGTCATGTCGCACATTGAATTCCAATGTCACGCTGTGCTCTGGCAGGTTGTGAGCTGTTGCATTACTTATGAATTGACAATGGCTAATTGCATTATGATTTCAAACAAGAAACTTAATGTGTGCAAAAATTAAATCTAAATAAGAATTATTTGTTTTTAAAATTTTTACAATATTTTTTACTTTTGTATTTAATATTAGCCTTAATTATTTTAAAGAAAAGATTTATTTCACAAATGGCCCACTAATACCTGTTGATAAGCAAATTACAGTTCAGCATTTCAGGTTAGAAATACTGTTGAGGAGAAGGATGTATTTGTTCAGTATGTTCAATTTGTATAAGAATGAAAATGATAACATTTATATTCTGCAGGAATATGGAATACAGTCAATTCAGGCTAATATAAAATTCTAGAGGAACAGTTGTTATTCACTTTATGGAAAATTTGTATCAATGATTTTCAGGTCAAGATTGTATAATTTACGGAGTTAATGCATAACAGATAGAAATCTCTAAATTATGATATTCTGAATTAATTTACTAAATAAAGTTAAATAAAATAAAATTTATTTACAAAAACAAATTAATGTTCTAAATGATTTTCAAATCAAACAAAATGAAGAGGAAATGATATCTATTGTTTAAATGTGGAGCAGTATATCAGAGTGGTTAAACAAAACAAAGCTAAAAAAAATACATAATTTCCTTCTGTGGAAGGTTGTTTGAAAAAGTGAAAGAATATTTTTGGCACCAAAAGAGTAAAAAAGGAGCCAAATTTGACACAAAGTATGCAAACTAGTATGTTTTTGCATGGGACTGAATTCATTTAAAGGGGTGGTATATTTTCTGAGTATAGTAGTATGGTCCACTAAAACCAGATGTGTGAATTACTCTACAATTTGAGGTCAAACCCATCTTTGCTTACTAGAAGAAAATTTATTCTACTCAAAATGAAACATTTATTACAGTATTACTTTTTATTTTTCATATTGAAAAGGGTAAAAAGCAACCATTATTAGAAATAGGGTTATTTCTTGAGGATGTAAAGATAATTTACAGTTCAGTTTAACAAATTCTGATAAAATTTTTGCTTGCTTATCATGTGCAAATAAATTGCAACATTAATTGATCATTATCATGTATCAATTAATGTTGTGTTAATGGCATTTTGCCAGGTAAACAGCAAAGTTTGCATTAATGTGAGAATTCACTTTATCAGTGTTTTTTTTTAAGGCAACTGAACTGTATTGCATTCCCAATGTTTTTCAAAAAAGGTTATAAAATGTAGTTATGCCAAGTGTACTAAAAGCTGAGTTTGTGTTGTAACACAGCAATTTGTGATTTTACTGTGATGACTAATACATGATGTACAGATTAAGGATTACTTTTGAAGTTTGTAAGCTTGAGGAATTTCTGTCATCTAAGTTTTGCCTGCAACATTTATATGTGAATTACTGTTGAAAGTGAAGGAAAGTAAGTAGCATAAATTTATCTTGTCATTCTTATAGTAATAAGTGAAATGTTTTAATGAAACAAAAATAACAAAAAGTATGTAATCGCAATTACTTAGGATAAAAATTTTAGTAAATTTTTAAATAAATTACGATTTAGATTTTTTGTAACTAGTGTGCTTTATCTTAAAAAATAGTACTTAATTTTAAGATTTTAGAAAATTAATTTTGTTATTTTCAGAGTATAAAAAAACTTTTGTAATTAACTACTCAAAACTGGGTATACTTAATAAACAAAGTGAATGAAACTAATCGCCAGCACAATTTTACAAGAAAGCAAACATTTTCAACTGTGCTAAACAGGCATCATCAGGTTAATTGCCTTTACATTCATGTGCAGCTGTTAAAATATGGGAATTGCTTTTGTTAATATAACATACTTCATGGATGTTTCTAAAGCAGGGATTCCCTAGAGTTCTGTCAATAAAATTCATTGAGTCTAGTGATATATGAATGTGACAATGCAGATTTGGGATGTGAGGTGAAATTGTTCTAGTCTTGAATCAAGTCCTCTTATGACGTCCTATACATGTACTAGAGTCATTTATAGCTTTATAAACAGTGGTGACTGATATATTGGTAATGGAACAAACTGATATCATGATATAATGTTTGACAAGATAATGAAAACCATAAATACAGTAAAACTTAACGTAAAGCTAGAAAATCATTTAAAAAATAAACTTAAAAAGTATCCAACATAAAAATAATAATACAATCGTTAATTAATAGCCATCATCTGTTATATGTTGTAGCACAATGATATAGAGTACAAATCGACATATCAGTCAAAGATTTTAGATTTTTCATTGAAATTGTTTTGTGATATTTTAAGTATTTTTCATATAAAAATACAGTGGGAATTGTCTAAATTTATAGTGCTTTTAGTATTGTGTATATCCTAAATTAAAAAATCATGGAGCATTAGCTGAAGAAGAGTTTTGAAGAAAAATGTAGCAAGTACTTCAAATGTTTCTAGTGACAAAAAGATTGAAATGGCAATTACAAACAAAGGTACAAATCCAGGCCTTAGCATTGTTTAAAATATTGAAAGAAAAGAAGTTTAACCATTTATATTAATGACCAGTTTGAATTAAATAATAACATTTGCTTTCCATTATTAATCTGTTCCCCCTAATAAATTGTTTGTGGTGTTTCTAGTTGCTGTTTTATCTATAATCATTAAAAATTGTCAGGTTCTAACATTTTTTTTACTAAGGTGAAAAGGGTTCTGCAATAAAAATAAGTTGGAAACTGCTGTTCTAAAGCAGAGCATACTTATATGTAATTTAATTTATTAAATTTATTTTTTAAAACTGTCATACATTTAATAATTTTTTAATATTAATACAAAATTTTTGTAAATAAATTGTTAATATAATGTTTATTATTTTCATCTTTTCCACCATTCTTACATAATGGATGATGTAAATACTACTTTATAGATTTATTAAATAATTCATACCTTTCCAATTCCACATCTTGTTAACATTTCTGCAGTGACGCTACCAACTCCTCCCACTCCAACAACGGCTACAGAAAATTCACGAATTTTCTGAAATTAAGAATTATTATTTTATAAGAAAATTATTTCCAAAAGTGATATATAATTAATTAAGAATTTCAATAAATTTCATTATGAAAAGTTTTCAAATTTTAATATATGCAATAAAATTGAATAAATGATCATTTCTATTAATTTAGCATTCCTAAAAGTAAATAATCTTAATATTGATTAGATGATTCCAAAAGTTAAATTTAATTTTATTATAGAAAAATAATAATCATCAAACCTCATAATTATCAACAATTCCCATTCTCTTTAATGCCATAAGTCGACTGTAATTGAAACAATAAGTAATAAATAATTATTAATTAGATAATAAAAAAATTCATTTAAATAATACTAAAAAAAAACTTTGAATGAATAAAATAAATAGCCATAGAAATATTATTTCAAAATTTAGAAACGTTCTATTTAAATTATAAATTTTATAATTTTTTTCAACTTTAGCACAAGACTAAAATATTTACATGATTATGTATGAAAACACATTTATATTCTTAAGATATAACTTTTACAAACAAATATAATTTGTACTCTGATTCTGAATGTGTCTATATCATATTTACAGTGAGAAAAAATTTGATAGTCAAATATTTTAGATCTTCAGTTATCTGACATTAATTTGAATCAATAATTTTCAACCAAAAGATTCATCAAACAAAAATATTACAATTTATTAAAGAAACAAAATAAAACAACATAGATTTTCCTTCAGTAAGAGTTTTGGATTTCTCTTTCATGTTTTATCATCATTGATGTGGTTTTCACCTCATTTAGTTTTATAATTCTCTACCTATTAAGTGCTGTCCATAAATTACATCTGCATTTTTCTTGAAATTTTTCTCCCATTCTCCTATTGCCCAGTTTGTCCAAGTTTCTGTAACCCCCTTGTTCCTTCGAATATCCAATAAAACTCAATCCCGTTTATCACTTTATGAATGATAAATACGAAAAATACAAACAAAACATACAAGAAATTTTGAAATATATATATCTATATATATATATATATATAAAAATGGACATGTATGTCTCTATATTTCACTTTTCCGCCAAAACTACACATCGCACGTGAATGGTGTTTGTATGTGGTGGTAGCCCCAAGTCTCCATTCATGCATAGGGGTGGTTGCGTCTCGATAGCTATAAGGGTGCGGGAGATATGAGGCTGAAAGTGGCTTTCTATTTCGAATGTTTTGTTTGAATTAAATTCGAACATAAAATTTGAATATTGGTTCAATTATAGAACGATTGTAAACGTTCCAGAAACGTTGAAAATAGTTCGTTTGACTAAACGTAAAAATTCTCTAATTAGTCTGGAAACGGGGGACCTAATTCTTGCATTCTGTGAAAACTGGTAAGATTAGCTTTAATGTAATTATCTTAATCTTCACTATGTTTACTTTTTGCCCCGCGAAGCATGTCCTTGCAGCTAGATTCTAGATTACTTAGAAAAACAGTCTTTTATATATATAAAAAAAACTATATTACATACAAATAAAAACTCAGCGAAGCAGGTCCTTGCAGCTAGTATATATATATATATATATTTCAAAATTTCTTGTATGTTTTGTTTGTATTTTGATGATGATATATATATAATAAAATGAAAAACAGGGTAAAATTTAATAGAATAAACAGACATCTGCTGAAGCCCAACCCTCTCCCTCCCTTTCAGTGTGGATATCATTTATGGACAGCCCCTTATTGTTTATTTTGATCATCAGAGTCTGAATAAAATATGATAACTTGCATCTCGCTCTTCTCCTCATTTCTTACATGACATAAAATTATTCAGTAAACATTAAGAATTAATTTTTTTAGTAGAATTTTTATGGTTTTATGTTTATTTTATGTATATTGAAACAATGATATTATGTTTGATAACTGAAAAAGTGAGTATTGAAAACTCACTTTTTCAATACTCACTTTATACTGAGAAATGAAGACATATGCTACAGAACTTGCATGTTATAGTCATGTTCTATCACAACAGGTTTGTAAGGGATCACAATTTAAATTATGATAAATTGTTACTCTATTTTAATATAAATAATGATGCTTTTTATGAAGAAGGCCACATTATAAACACATATGAAAATAAATTACAATAGAAATGGCAACTTAGTAGAAAAGAAAGGAAAATAAACAAGTAGAATGGAAAATAATAGAGAAATGGGTAATTATATGTAATCAATAAAAAGAAAATATTAAGATAATTAACCTATAAGGGTTAGAATCAACAACTTCTGAACTCATTTCAGAGATTCTATTCCTTCCTTTCGTCATGCTTTTCTGTCTTTCGGCATCTAACTCTTCTTCCAATTGTTTAATTCGACGCTGACATTCTTCTAACGTTGACATGCTTCCTGTTCAATATGTCACATGTACTGTACACACGAGCATCTACCAGATGTTTCGTCCAAACGTGGCAATCAACTCTAGTGACGTCATCTCGTATTTTTTAAATTTTCCGATAGAGGGCAGGTTGCCAGATTCGAAAATGGAAAAATTTCAAAATAATTCGATACTGTTATGCCGTAATTGTGAAAAGATCTTTGTGCAAAATACAAGGGGTTTCTTAATAGGGGCTTGTTCGTCTGTCGCGAAAACAGCTTTTTATAGTAAGCCGAGATTCGAGTTTTCTTATTTCTTCAATTTTTTTTTTATGGGGAAGCATTTTGTGCGTGGGATAATTCAAACTCGAATACTTGAAAACACGTGTATCTAACATAGAAGTCTTCAATCCTTTTGTTTGTTAGATCTACGCCACGTGGAGACTGTCACATGTGAGTGTCGGTTAGACGGGTGGCCTGATCGCGGATAGACGGAGTGAGCCTGGGGCCATATTCTGGTCACTGTCTCTGGTCTCTCGACCAGAGACAGTGACCAGAATATGGCCAGTCTCTCGCAAGCCGGTCGCTGATTGACTAATCATTTGGATTAGCCAATCAGCGACCGACAGTGACCAGAATATGGCCCCTGGTCTACCGCACGTGGGAGATATCCTTTGTCTACGTCTCCGCCAGAACCAGTTTCGTGTGTGACCTCGTGCTAGAAACTAGTGTAGTTACTGACAATACCCAGTCACTGAAGGTCTAATCTACTTATTTTTAAACTATCGCACGTGTCAAGATGAGTCATCTCGTGACGCCAGGTGAGCTAACTTCTCTCGGGCTCTTCCTTTGTCTACATCAGGCCAACCTAGTCACATTTGTCCAACCATGACTTCAAATCACCGTCAGGATCCTAACGTGGATCAATACTGGATATGGAATTCGATCCATGACTCTAAATCGCTACTTCAATTGCTGTCCGAAAACAACATCCAATTAACCAATCCGACATGCAAACTTACTCTGATTCAATCAGATCAACCCATCGATTGTTTATCCATTTATAAACGTCTCAAGTGTTACATTCCTAACATTAACGAAAAAATCCTTACTATTTCTACGACTAGGCAAGGCCAGATATACATACAATCCAAACAATCCGTTCTCCCAGAGATTATGCAACTTAAAGACATATCCATTAGCATCAATTTAACAAAGGACTTATACACTAAGCAATTCATCATCAAAGGAGTTCCAATCGACTTTAGTGCACATGACATAGCGGAACAACTTCGTGAAAAAGACTTCCTTCCAGTCAATATACAAAGATTCAAAAGAACCGTCGATGAAACACATTCTGCTACCACAAATGTTAAAAAAATAACCACAGCAGCTAATACCATCTCAAAGCTTATCAAGCTTTTCTTAACATCCTATCGTACCGAGATACATCAAGAACGTCCAAGGCTTTGCCACAAGTGTTGTTGCTTCAGGCATATAAAACTCTATTGTAAAGAGTGTTTTAGATGCAAAAAATCCGGAGATCCCACGAAGAATCATTCTGCATCATCACAGAACCTAAATGCATCAACTGCGGGGACCCACATTCCTACGCGTCCCTAAAACACTCATTTTATAAATCTGCCTGGGATATTGTCCAATGTCAATGGGAACACAACTGCTCTCCCACGGAAGCCCACAAAGCCCTGGCATTCAAACGTCATACTCATGCTAGTTTATATAGTGAGATCGTCCAAGACAACTTCCAGTCTAATAAACGAAACTCCCCACCAACAAAGAATCAACAACTTAACAAGCCCAAGACTCCGAAATTCTACAACTTCTACGTGAAATCCAAAAATCCATAAAATGCAAAACCAAACCATTCAGAACATGTTGGCATACACGCAAGACATAATAAAAACTTCGAAAACTCCTGATCACCCCGCCATTACAGTGGACCAGCAACAACCTCCCCAAACCAAATCCTGATCAACAGCCAGAAGAGATTACAAAGGTTTGTCAGTAGCCTACATAACATGCACTGTACGAATGTCGCCTGTCAATACAGCTCGTCGATGAAAGCGCACAGAAGGGCTGTGTTCCTTTTTTTTCATCGACGAGCTGTATTTTCTGAAGAATTTTCTGCTTACAATATTATAGAAACTTTTCAAAAAAAAAACAACCAAATTAATAATTCGTATAATTGATTTAAAATACTTTTCTACACAATTTAATAACTAAACTTCACAATTCAAACAATGGTTTTTATGCTTATTGTTAAACAATACTTCTCACAAACAATGAAAATAAATCAAGTATAGCAACAGAATTTCGGGAGGCTGGAGAGTTTCCATTGTAAAATTTCGAATGGCATTTCATCCAGGGAGCAGGGCATGGTAAGTTGTATTTGGCGTGGAACCGGAGGCCGAAATCTGAAAACCATTTTATGAACGGGGAGATTACAAGCTCAGCGTAGGCGCTTTAACGATTGGGTAAGCTCGCGGCTTCACTACAACACTTCCTTACATACACTCCTCACGATAACATTTACAATTGAACCATTATCTCATTTCTTCAGCGCAATCATTCATTTATATATCATGCATTGTCTCTGTACACAACACCCAAGGACTTTAAACTACAAGGATAGCCAGATCCCGTATATTTGTTAGCGTGACCTTGGATCTATGTGACGTCACAGCAAGTCCTCTACTTCAACATGACAGACCTTTCAAATAACAAAATACGATAAAATATTAAATCATTTCTTAATTAATTATTAAATTACTACTAAATGTAAACTACTGTAGAATTTTCGGATTTAATAAGTGTACTGTACGTCAATAAATTTACAAGTCTTTTGTCTAATATTTATTTAACAAATTAATGAGCTATACTTTTTAATATGTGATTATCTTACTTAACTTTTTAATTTTTTTTCGACAATCACCATTTTCAGAAGGCATTCTTTTCAATATTTTATAGTTTTCTTGTTTAAGATTTCTATAATTAATTCTTATTATAGTTCTTAATTTACAAAAATCTTTTATTAAAGTAAAAGGTAAAACTGTTTCCACTGAATAATTCTGTACAACTCCGGGGCCTTTTTTATACGATTCATCGTGATATATTTTGAAATATTTATTCCATTCTATAATTTTTGCTAGCCATTCATCAGTAGGTTTAATAAGCCCTCCATAAGATAAACGCTGCACCCATGACGGAATGCTATAGTTGTGATGATTTTTAATTTTGTTACTGGAATTAATTAAGTTTGGGTATTTTTCTTTATATTTATAGGCAAAATATCCTGCTATATACTCGAGAGTATCGTAGGAAGTTTCTTCAGAGATTGTGTTAAAGTCTAGATTGCGTGTAGAGTTTCCTGTAGATTTATTTGAAGAAAAAGTAGTTTTACATTCAGTATATTGGTCTGTATTTTCACTTGATACTTCTACATGTGCTTTCTCTAAAACTTTGGGTATAATATATTCCTCTTGTCTTCGATCTGTAGTATTTACTTTTGACTCTAAAATACCAGGATTCTTACTTAAAATAACCAATCTAATCCTATATATAGCATTTAATGGGCTTGGATGTTCATTAGGACCCCGGCTTCTAATTTGAAAAAAAAAGTTTTCCAGACAATCTTGATTTAAATTGTGAGTGCAGATGTATTTTATATCAAAAGTCGATTTCATATCTTGAAAAAGATCAATTAGCGATTTCATTGAGATTATCATTCCTTTCTGGAAAATTTGGAGGCCATTTTTTCCACTTGCTCTCATTGTTGAGATTATTTTTATCATTTTATTTAAATGTTCTTCTTGTAATTCCAAGTCTACACCATATTCATTTTTGCTTGGAACAAAACCTTTTGGTGCATAGCTATTAAAAATGTCGAACCACATATTTATATCTCTAATATACGTTTCATTGATAATAATAATTGATTCATAATAAATGTTTCATTGATATTCACATTCAATTCTTTCCATAAGCTTATGTTACTGCAACTACAGTCACTGACGCAAGCTACTACATTATACGATAGTAAATAAAGTTCTGCTATTAATTTTAAAAGTATTTCTCTTGTCATTTTTTGATCAAACCCGATGTAAACAGGTTGCTTCCAATTTGAAAAAAGAAGGTTATTATTGCAACCATACACAGCACACCTAGTACTCAGTATTTTGTTCTTCACCTAACATAAAAATTTAGCTTTAAATATTTAATGACTTATATTTAAATCATCTTACCTCATAAAAAACTTAGTCAAATAAAACAATTACAGAAATATTAAAATAAATCACTTCGTTAATCACAATTAGACGAATATTAAAAGCGAAAACTAAACACGTGCACACCCTGCTCTATGTAAACAGAGAGGTCAGGACACGTGTGACGTCACTAACTTGCCATTCCTGGCTAACATTGTAGAATAGGGATCTGGCTATCCTTGTAGTATATAGTCCTTGCACAACACCGCTACATAGCACCTACACTGCTTCCATTATTTAAAAATGCAGACTCTGTAATAATCATTATGCATAAATTCTTAATTAATATAACGAATACTTATTTCAGTGTTGGATCCAATACAGTAGTCGGATTGTTAGGATGAGCCATTTTGCACGTGTCGAGAGAGGCAAAACAAATTATACAAGCCAGATATTCATATCCGAATGGCTCAACGTTCGTATCCAGGCACAACAAATGCAAGAAGTCTGACGCCAAATATTCATAGATTCCGCAGGCGCCATTTTACTTTTCTGGCTCTGTTGTGTATAACAGAGGGAAAGTATGGCGATCGATCAAAAAATTTCCAAGATTTTTACATTTTTGGATACGATCGACCTTAAAACGTTGATAAATGCAAAAAAATCGGAGTTTTCTCTGTGTGGAAATTAGTGTGTGTGTGTGACTAAAAATCCAGTAACACATCTTTCTTTTACACTTACTTGTTAGTATAATTGCTATCACCGTAAATATCTAACAATGCTGTCTGAACTCTTTTCATCCTACATTTACCTATTTTATTTATCAACCACTAACTCATCATTCTCTAATCATCTCTAAGTTATTATATGCCTGTAAATATGTTAAATATGTTGTCTAAATAGTTGGAATTTCCTCTAACAGTCTATATTTGAAATCCAAGAACTAAATTTACTGACTTTTAATCCCCCTCTCTAACCTGTTGCTAACTTTTTGTTTTTTTTGTTTTTTTTGCTCAACTTTTAAATTAATAAATACAATATAAATTGTGAATAACATATATTAGAGCTCTTTTCTCGCTGCAAACTATAATAATTCGCCTAATATTAATAAATAAAAAAAGATATTGGCTTAACCTTGATAAACTCCGAAGCCACCCTAAATACTAAATCTCTTCTTTTGTAACACTTTAAATCTATCCTATCTTAACACATGGTTTAACATTTCTATACATTTCCATAATTAGATTACAGTATATAATTCTCATCATTTCCTTTTCTTTCTAATTCAGAGAGTTCTTGGGAATCCCGAAGGTATCCCATATTAATAATGTATATACAGGCTTAACTATAAATTTTTTTACTACGTTTTCTTGCCCTTAACGAAAACTCCCAAAATATTTTAAAATGAACACAAATTGTAAGCAAGAAATAGTTTAACCAATTTGTGAAAGTGACCGTTAATAGAAATATAAACATTAACGATATTTACGAATAAATAATGTTCAAAACCGGATTAAAATAGTATTTATAAGCAGCCCTATAAAATAGACAAAAGCAATATCTGAGTTAAAAACGAAAAAATTTTATATATTAAAAGAATTTCGAATGTTTACAGTTGACTCTCCCTATGCTCCAGCCAAACTTCGGACTATATGCGATCGAAGCGCTCAAAGTGTCAGAAATATTTATTAAACCAGTATAGTAACATTACAGTTATAGACAACGCAAGGACCAGTATAAATGGATAAAATGAATTGCAAAAATGTGGTGTGAATGTGGACAGATGTATATGTAAAAATTAATCGAAATAATTTAATTAAATGTTATACAAGCAACTGTTACTACTTTGTAGATGTTAGTTTATCTTTTTAATTTAATAAAAAAAAAAAAAAAAAAAAAAACACAAGGGTTTTTTTTTTAACACACGAGGGGGCGTTGAGCGTATTGGGCTTCCCACACGTGTAATAAAGTATTATAGATATTAACAATTGTAAAAATTTCAAACACAATATGTAAATAGGATATGCTGTGGAATGAGTATCAGTTGATAGAAGGAGTGGGAAATGAAGTCTTTTTAGCAACTGCGGGTTTTGTTCTCGTTATCACATTTATAATAGGAGTAGGCCTAACTCACTGGAGGTATGTTCTAATCGTTCTTTTAAAAGTAATGATAAGGTTATCGAAGTCTTGTGATTAATATTTTACAGTTTTAACATTAAAATAATAAAATTTACCACGCAAATGCTTTTATCGACTCGATGTGAATTTTAAATATAGTGTTATAATCTAAACATTATAATTAGTAGTTTAATGAGGAATATAAACAAAATGCTATTTAACAGTAATGATTCTCGACAACAAAGCTAGCTACAGAAATATCTATGGCTGCAACATATCTTCTTCCAAATGAAAGTTGATAATCTATGGAAAATGTTGATGATAAAAGTAAATTATTCTGTTTTAAAATACCAAACATTTCAGACACTATTACTTATACTGATGTAATGTACTAATAAATACAACTCCACACCTATAACCAGCAAAAATGGAAACTTTAATAAAAACAAACGTTTTCCTCTTTTTTAAGATATTGCGAAAGCAAAATCAAATGTGTATTCAAAAAATAGAATATACATTTAAACTTCCATCTGTCATAAATGCATGCATGTATTGTACAATGCAGAAGTAGCACAGAGGAGAATTAAATATAGTGGTACCTCAGGATACGAACACCCCAGCATATGAAATTTTCAGGATATGACATGAAATTCGAACACATTTTTGCTCCACGATACGAACAAAAACTCACCATACAACGTTACATTAGTTCGCAGTGCCATTTTTTTATTCACTTCTGTTCATTGGTCTCAGTCCGCGTGTTTGCTTCGTTGTGGAAGGATCTTGCTCGATAAAGGAAATCTTGAGGTATTATCAGGAAGTGACTGATTTTATTGAAAAGAAACATCCCAAAAAGGTTCACACTAGCTGTATTGCTGCTATTTGACATTTGCCTAAGTAATTTTAGAAACATTTTAAAAAGTAGGCAAAGCCAAACCTCTTTGGATAGATATTTTATCAAGCGACCTCTATCCAGTGGAAGTGAAGGAAAGAAAGCAAAAAGCAGTGAATAAAAATTTTAAAAAATATATATATAAAACAACACTAATTTTTTAAATCTTTTCTAAGTTATTTTTAAGTTATTGTTACATTATGTTATGTAAGTTAAGTTTTAGTATCATTTCCCTTCGCCCTCTCTTCTGCCACCAGTTTACACCTCCACCGTCATCCATCCTCAAAGGTAAAGTACATTTTTTTTTTATCAATTATTATTCTATTATGGTTATTTATACATTTACAACTACAAAATGCATTTTTCAGTGTTTTCCTTACTATAGTTATTTTTTTTAATGTACTACTTAGCTTGAATTTGAGTGTGTTTTTCATGTTGGAACGAATTATTTGGTTTTACATGTAATTGTATGGGGAAAAATGATTCACCTTACGACATTTTCATCATACAATCTCAGTTTCGGAATGGATTAATTTTGTATCCTGAGGTACCACTGTAAAGTTACAACAGTCATTAAAATATAAAAGATATTAAGATGATTGATATGAGTTTTTATAGCACATTCCATGCCACTGAAATAGTGTCCATTAATTATAATTAATAGCTATGCCTCTTCTTTTAGATTTTGATATATTCAAAGTATTTGAGACAGATCTGGGGCCATATTCTGGTCACTGTCTCTGGTCTCTCGTCTCTCACAAACCGGTCGCTGATTGGCTAATCATTTGGATTAGCCAATCAGCGACCGGCTTGCGAGAGATGAGAGACCAGAGACAGTGACCAGAATACGGCCCCTGATCGTCTGACTGGTGTAAGAGGCATGTCTTATCAAACTCAACTTAAACATTGTTATCAACTGCGAAAGTAGCTACCAACATGGTGAAAAGTCCCTTCCTAATAGAGTGGTGCCTTGTATAATGTACTTAATCTGTTTCAGGTGCATGTCCATTAAGTGAAAAGTCCGTTATACGAAATGCATTTTCTCATAGAAGTACATGTTAAAACATATAATTCGTTCCACAGCATAAAATAACTGTACTGTACCATAAAAGAAATGAAAATGAAGCGGTCACCAATTATGCCGGATTGTCAGATGTTGAGGAGGAGGTGGAGGAACACTTTCTTCACACATTCATGACTCTCCCTATGCTCCAGCCAAACTTCGGACTATATGCGATCGAAGCGCTCAAAGTGTCAGAAATATTTATTAAACCAGTATAGTAACATTACAGTTATAGACAACGCAAGGACCAGTATAAATGGATAAAATGAATTGCAAAAATGTGGTGTGAATATGGACAGATGTATATGTAAAAATTAATCGAAATAATTTAATTAAATGTTATACAAGCAACTGTTACTACTTTGTAGATGTTAGTTTATCTTTTTAATTTAATTAAAAAAAAAAAAAAAATTAACACACGAGGGGGCGTTGAGCGTATTGGGCTTCCCACACGTGTAATAAAGTATTATAGATATTAACAATTGTAAAAATTTCAAACACAATATGTAAATAGGATATGCTGTGGAATGAGTATCAGTTGATAGAAGGAGTGGGAAATGAAGTCTTTTTAGCAACTGCGGGTTTTGTTCTCGTTATCACATTTATAATAGGAGTAGGCCTAACTCACTGGAGGTATGTTCTAATCGTTCTTTTAAAAGTAATGATAAGGTTATCGAAGTCTTGTGATTAATATTTTACAGTTTTTACATTAAAATAATAAAATTTACCACGCAAATGCTTTTATCGACTCGATGTGAATTTTAAATATAGTGTTATAATCTAAACATTATAATTAGTAGTTTAATGAGGAATATAAACAAAATGCTATTTAACAGTAATGATTCTCGACAACAAAGCTAGCTACAGAAATATCTATGGCTGCAACATATCTTCTTCCAAATGAAAGTTGATAATCTATGGAAAATGTTGATGATAAAAGTAAATTATTCTGTTTTAAAATACCAAACATTTCAGACACTATTACTTATACTGATGTAATGTACTAATAAATACAACTCCACACCTATAACCAGCAAAAATGGAAACTTTAATAAAAACAAACGTTTTCCTCTTTTTTAAGATATTGCGAAAGCAAAATCAAATGTGTATTCAAAAAATAGAATATACATTTAAACTTCCATCTGTCATAAATGCATGCATGTATTGTACAATGCAGAAGTAGCACAGAGGAGAATTAAATATAGTGGTACCTCAGGATACGAACACCCCAGCATATGAAATTTTCAGGATATGACATGAAATTCGAACACATTTTTGCTCCACGATACGAACAAAAACTCACCATACAACGTTACATTAGTTCGCAGTGCCATTTTTTTATTCACTTCTGTTCATTGGTCTCAGTCCGCNAGTCGAATTAGTCTAGAATCGATTAATTTTATGAAAGAAAACCTTTCAAACAGCCGTAGTCCGTAAACTATGATTCCTACAAAATTGATTCATAAAGAACGGAACGTATCTACCGTCTTATAGGGGGATCTACTGTACTAATAATATATTCTGATAATACTAATATATTATAAAAATAGCAGATTGTCATTGGCAACGGCAAAAGAGTGGAAACATCATTCGCACTTGTTTGCAGAAAGTCCATTGTTCGCCTCACGTAACTGCCAAACGGAAAGTCCATTGTGTGCAGCCAGTCCATTGCTTGAGTCACATAACGGCCAAACAGAAAGTCTGTTGTTTGCAGCGTCTGTTATTTGAGGTGTACGTTATACGAGGCACCACTGTACTATACTTGTGCTCCTTATTCGGGCATCTAGTCGTAGCACCAATATATTCTGAGACTGTTCACCCTGAGATTGTATAGAGGGATAACATATCTGTTTTTTGCTGGTTATAGGTGTGTAGTTGTTTATTAGTATCAAACATCAAATAATATATTTCAAAATGAAAATAAAATTTATTCTTAAAAGTAAAAAATGGCATGACTTTGTATATAAAGATTTTAATACTTAACTAATTAATAATAAAATGAGCAATTATTTATTGTAACATTGTCACAATTCCAGGCTGCAATTTTTAATCATATTTTTAATTTATTTAATTTATGTGCTCTCCACCTCAAATTAATAGTGTCTTGCCCCTGTGCATCATACTTTCCTTTAACAATAGAGTGTGCTGGTCATCTATTAACAGCTTTCATGGGAAAAGTTTTGAATTGAAATAATGTGACTTCTGGTTTACATCAGAAGTTTGTATATAGTTAATCAGGACCTCCTGCCCCTAAGATTTCCATGTCTGTATTGGATTTCATCTATCTAATTCCATTCTTGAGATTAAGGAAAGACAGACAGATGACAGTGTGAATTTATAGATCTACAATTTTTTTAAATTGCAGTCCAGTTTGGCCACTAATGCCCTTTGCTATTGTTTCCCTACATTTATATAGTGATTCCATCACATCTGCTGAGTCTCAAACACTTCCAAGTCACTGTTTTAAATATCCAAATCACATGTTCTTATTCAGACTGGATCTCCTTGGCTTTATCAAAATGTTTCATTTTGAAGAGCAAAAAGAAGTTACAAAAGTGTTAAATCTGGTGAATTATAAGGGTAGGGAGGACTGTCATGTTTTTTTTTTTTTGGTCAAAAACACTCGTTTTGAATGCCGTGTGCAAGAGCATTGTCATGATTGACCCAGGTTTGGTTGGACCACAGTTCTGGTATTTTCAAAATCTTCAAAATATTAGAAAAGTCTGAAGTAACTGTCTAATCAGGAGAAACAAAATTCCCTTGTGGTAAAAACAAAATCAGTATGCTCTTTGTCATGCTCTTGTCTTGGAGATTGTTGTCTCCAAGACAGGAGCATGACAGATCATACTGATTTTGATCATACTGAAAGCTGGCTAACTTATGATCCATAACACAAATGGGCATGTATAAAATAAATAGTCTATTTGTAAAATAGGAGTGACTTTTTTTCAGATACAGAAGGGAATATTTGTGTATGTACAGTACCCCTGTAGAATACACTTTGGGTATGTACCCCTGTAGAACAGGGGTGCATACCCAAAGTGGGAAGTTGGAGAAATAATCTGG